AGGCCCTATAGTGAGCTCATCATTTTCTCCCATAGTCTATAACAACCACCCGTTTCAAACCAATAGGATCGCTCCATACTCCTCATGTCTTCTTGGTCTATCATGTCTATCTATTCAATAGTCAGCCCGCTAAATGATTTAGGGTCGCACCATGTGTGAGCCGAGAAAAAAAGATTTAAAGTATTATTCTTCCAAAAGACTCAGTGTCAAGGATACATTTTTATGGCTGTTAGGTCGTTCAGAATATTTTTTATCGACTTTGAATTATTGACAGGAGAAAATTTACGATTTGTTGAATTCAAAACTTCTCTCAGCTCATTTTTTTCTACGACTTGGTGCGACTCTGTTTAATTCGGTCCAGCAGGCTGATTGTGGAAATTGATTGACAAGACGATAGAAAAAGAGGACATAGGGAGTATGGAGCAATCTTATTGGTTGAAATGGCTGGTTCTCATAGACCTTGGGGGAAATATTGGTCTAACTATAGGGTGTCAAGTTACGAGCAATGATATAGGCGCTGAGGTTCGGCCAAATTATGGAATTGACTCTTCCTTACATGCCCAGGCTGGGTTTATGTGATCCGAGAATCTCTGAAAACACGCGCCCCGCGAGTTTTGTGGTGCCGGTATGTCCGAACTTTAGATGTAGGTCTACATAGACATCTTAAAGGAGAATGAGACATCAAATTGATTAAAAAAAGAGAGAAAAAAAAAATCAAATATAAACACAGCTAGGAGAGACCTTTTTGGTCTGGTTTTTTAACTTTGACCCGTACTGCCGTGCTAAGGAAAAACGCCGTATGAACTTTCAGGTGTCGCCAAATTTCCTTTGATAAAACACGAATTTTCTAGTAAATCTAAAAAGATTTTTCTTCCAGTTTTTCAGAGAATTTTGTCCCCAATTTTGTCTAAATTTCCTGAAAATTTCAAGGAAACAAATTCATAAGTTTCCTCAAAATTTCACATTTTATCGAAGAAAAGTCGGCAACTCTGGAATGTTGATACGGCGTTCTTCCTCAGCACGGCAGCGTACCAGAGTGACAGTCCATTGGCAGCCTAGAGCGGAGCACCGCGAGCTAACGCCTCACGCCATAGCGCCTTCAATTTCGCAGACGCAACACGGACATCCATCAAGCACGAATAGTTGTATCTCTGCGCCGTCATCAACGCGCGACTTATCCCTTGCTCTTTTTCCATGTTGTGTTGGTTCCATCTGTCTTATTTGTAGTAGTGCCTCAGGGGCTACGTTAGTAAAACAGCCGAAGATAGGAGAGATGTACAGTTCTCGTTTTTTACCCTCTTTCCCGAATTAAGCGACGCATCATCGATAGCATTGAGCAGAGCATTGCTAGTTCACGCATCGCCCCTTCAGTTTTTCAGATACAACACGGACATCCATCAAGCACGAATAGTTGTATCTCTTCGCTGTCATCAAAACGAGTCCTCTCTCTTACCCTATTTCCATGTTTTGCTGTATCCCTTTGTCTTATTTGTAGCAGTGCTGAAAGGGCTACGTGAGCAACACGGCCAAAGTATGACTTGGATTTTTGTTGGCCAAATTAGGTATCGGGTAAAAAAAACTGGATGAAGTGTTTAGCCACCACCGTTAACAGCTCATTCAAGATCCCACGCATAGATTGTGAAACTGCAGAAATGCATATCTCGGTTTGCAGCGATGCAGACTTCCTGTCATACTTCATATTCTACATAGAAAACTACTGAACGTCATTTTTTGAAAATATTAGTGATTTCTCTTCTCTTTATGAAGAATGTGCAGCGAAAATTTCAAGCCATGATGTTGGTTCAGTCATTTTTTACAAAATAAAATAGGAGCAGAGATTTCGAAACATCGCAACTGAGATACACTTTTTTGCAGTTTCACCGTCGATAAGTGCCCCCGAGCCAAACAGTTGCCCCTATCAATAAGCCAGAAATAGTACCTCCATATATTGCAGATCGAAATTCATATCGACGGTGTGAGTCGCCAATGACACGGCTTGGTTTGCGACGTTGCAGACTTCCTGTCATACTTTATTTTTTAAACGGAAAACTGCCGTAATTTTTCTTCTCTGTGCGAAGAAAAATCTTCATAAACTTCAGGAAATGATGTCAATTTGTTTTCCTTTAAAAAAATACTATAGAGGCGGAGATTTTCAGACACCGCAAACGAGATATGTGATTGCGGACTTACGCCGTTGATTTGTCCCTCAGTGATTAAATTACATACTTGCAAGAATGAAGGAGTTTTAAACGGACACACTGAGAAAATCTCGCGGATTTATGAAAGGTTGCCTTTAACGTTAGCGGTTCTTATTGAGGAAGAGGGAATAGGTAATTATTTGCGATTCGCAGTGCTGTAAGTTGCAGACGCTGCTATAATAAAGGGTTTCATACTGCCTTGCATGACCTCACCCTTTATTTTCGATGGAGACATAATGCGAATCGGTTAATATTTGATCCCCAGAGCGATGATCCCAAGCGTGCGGATTTATCCGTGCCGTACGGATCTTCCCTATACTTCCGTGCTAAGGAAAAACGCCGTATGAACCTTCAGGCGTTACCAAATTGTCTTTGATAAAACATAAATTCCCTGGTAAACTTAGGAATATTATTCTTCCAATTTTTCAGAGAATGTTGTTCGTATGTCGATCTAAAGTTCCTGAAAATTTTTGAGAAAAATATTCGTAATTTTCCTCAAAAATGGACATTTTATAAAAAAAAAAAAAAAAAAAAAAAAAAAAAAAAAAAAAAAACATGGCAACTCTCGAATGTTTATTCGGCGTTTTACCTTAGCACGGCAGTATAGCGGCATGGACTGCGCACGGACCAACAGCTTCAGGGAAAGCGCTTCCCTGTCTTAAAATATCCGTACGTCTGACGTCACAGAATGACGAAGTAGCCAATAGCAGCACGGAGGACGGCAGTACGGATCTTGCACACGGAGAACCCGGGAATACTGCTTCAGAGACTGATGAACGACTGTGTATACGGATTACGGATCTTAAAATCAAGGGTCGTAAGATACTAAAAATGAATTGAAATCGAATATTTGTTTTGATGGTTTTATTAAACAAGGGTAGTGCGTGTTACTTTTTTTCATTCAGATTTTATCCAAGCGGGCTTATTTTCCTTTCAGCCAGTCCAATTTGGGGATGCATGTTGGAAGCTTCATGGATGCCAGGGGCGTGGAGTGTTTTGTGATTTATCGATTGATCTGCGTTTTTCAACTTACGGAAAAGGATCGATAAACAGGGAGTTCGCAAGGAACACCTTATTAATCGATTATCTACCATAGCTTCAAACGAGAAAATATCGAGAATTGATCATTCACACCTCGCCACAGCACCGTACCAAAAATAAGATGGGGATAAGTGAACTTATGTACTAATTTTATACTTTACTTTGGACTGTACCAGTCATGGTAACATGGCATCACGGAAAAAAGTGTCATGGATTATCCCCTGAATTGTGGTACTACCCCAATCGGATTCCTTTTATGCTAAAAGGAACTATGTTACATGCAAACCTTATGCACATAGTTCCTTTTAGCATAAATACGTCCACTTTGTTGGATGATTTAGAAATTTTCAATTAATTGGACGTACGTCTGCCAAACGGAACTATGTGCATTATAACGTGAGCTCTGTTATACATATATTTGTATTTTTAGGGGTTTCAGGACTCATGTCTTATAATGTGCATAGTTCCGTTTGGTAGAAATACGTCCAATTGTGGTAGTACCGCAAGATTTGGGTTAGCAACCTACTTAATTGTCAATGCCTGTGCTTATCATCCAACAACCCCCACGTCTGTTTTTCCCGTGATATCAACGGTGAAACTGCAAAATCGCGCACCTTGGGTTGCGACGCTGCGTTTTTCTTGTTATAGTTCACTATTTATTAAATTGAAAACTACTCAACGTCATTCCTTGAGTACTTTCCTGATTCGTCCACTCCGCGTGCGGAATAACATTCTGCGAAATGTTCAAGCTATAGTGTTAGTTTGTCCTCATTTAAAAAAATCAATAAGGAGTGGAGATTTTGAAATACCGCAAACGGGTAATGCATTTTTGCGGTTTCACCGTCAAACCATGCCTTTCAGCAAGGTATCGATATGGCCAAACTTCGGAACCACTTATCTCTATTGGGATGTTTCAAAACTTTAGCTCCTCAGATATATGTTTGCCAAGAGAAACGAGCTAGCTTGAAATTTATACAGAATTGCATATGTGAGGAATTTGCGATTAGACCATTGATTCTATGTAAAAGTTCGCGAGAAACACGATGGTGCCACTGGTTTTTTCTGAAACCATCTCCCAAGCTCAAAAAAAGCTCTCAAGTTGAGGCCAAAATGGAGGGAATATCCCACGCTATCCTGAGAGTCCACCTCTACATCAAGAAAAACTCTCCATGCAAAGATAGGGAGCAAATATATTGACAGGGCTGCCACTTTATTTGGGGACTCCAAAACTAAAAACACGGCAACACTGTTGATGTATTCCCTCCCTATCTTTGCATGGAGAGTTTGTTTCGATGTAGGGGTGAATTCTCAGAATAGCGTGGGATATCCCCTCCATTACAGCCTCAAGTTGAGAGCTTTTTTGAGCTTGGGAGTTGATTTCAGAGAAAACCAGCGGCAACATCGTGTTTCTCGCGAACTTTTACGTGAGAATCAACAGTCAAATCGCAAATTTCTCACACATGCAACATGTCCATTCTGCTACCAGAGAAAATAAATCAAAGAAGTTTTTAAGAAATTACGTTGGCTAGTTTTCCAAAGAAGAATAATGAAGTATAACAGGGAGTTTGCAACGTCACAAACGGAGATACGTGGTTCCGCACTTAATCCGTTGATATTAGAATTATGCATTGTCACCTTCCGGCTAAACTATCACAAGCGCCATGCGACATTTCAAAATGTCCGCCTTCATTTTATTTTTTTATAGAGGAATCATTCAACGAAGCTGTCCGAAAATGTCACTTAATTTTTTTTGTGCGGCCGATAAAAATTCAGCGAAATTTTCAAACAGATTCAACCAACAATTCCTCTACGAAAAATTAAAATGGCGGCGGGAATTTTGAAACGTCGCATGGAGCTTGTGATACTTTGGCAAGAAGGTGACGATATGTAAATACGCTTTTGATGAATGATGTGTTTAACCTGAAAACTTGTTCAACACTCACCGTGCGGGACTTCTTAGACCAATGTTTTGATAAAGAACAATGCCTACGTTATATGTACAAAAAACAAAATATCCTAAAAAATACAATCTAAAAAACGTGAATACAATACAGTTTAGAAAAAAATAAAGAAAAAAAACAAACACAGCTTCGCTTTGAACAATCACTCAAGGCAAGATGTGTGGATCGCCAATAGATAGATGAATTTGATCTGTAGATCTCTGGTCTCCAGAATGCATTTAATTGCGTTTTTCTCCGTCAATCGAAATGAAGAGTTCGCTTATTTTTTACCTCGCCGGCTCCCACCTTTTTACTTTTGCTATAGGTTTCAAAGTAAAATTTGGTGAAGAGGTAAAGGAAAACAGAGGCAGTTATTGCGATGTATATGGCGAGAGAGATCAGCATTTCACATCGGCTCCAAAGCAGAACACCCATATATGCTATAATGATCACAAAATGACTCTGGAAACCAAAACGAAAAAAAAAAATAATGTGAATGCGTGAGTTCTAAACTATAAAAATTGAATAATGTAAAAAATTAAAAAAATAACATAAGAAAAGAAAGAAATAAATAAATAAATAAAAAGATAAGTAAATAGATAAATAAGAAAAAAACTCAGTTTATTCAATTTATATTGTGACCGCGTTCAGCAGAAAGAAACCAAGCCACACGAGCTATTACCAAATTTAATTGGGCAGTTTAATTGTTTAAATGAAAACGGTTTTGCGGATTTTTGTGCAAATTTCAGTAAATTTTCTGCATGGTACGTAGCAAATTCCTTGACATTTTCAAAAGAATCCGCAAAAACGTTCTCTTTTAAAAGAGAAATTGCCCACTTAAATTTGGCGGAAGTGGATTTGGCTTGGGTCCTTTCTGCTAAACGCGGTCCATTAAAATATGATTGATTGCAGTGCAGTTGTATATGAATATTATCAAAAGACCTCGAATATTTAAAGGACATGGAACATAAGGGACACATTTCTGGCGTTATAGATATTACGATACGTAGCCTCTCTTTTTGCCTAATCGTTCACTTGAAGGCGAACTCTCTTGCTCGCTTGAGACCGAAACAGTGTGGCACCGAACATCGTTCGCCTTCAATTGGACGAATCGGCAACATCTGCTCTTAATACCGGATTAAAAACGTTTAGAACGTAAGGCGCATGCAGGTAGGCAATTAATGATAGTATGAGTCGTTGAAATCCATTTACCTACATCTTTAACACAAAAATATTGGGTTCAACTTCTCGACTTTGCCGTGATATTGATGACTGAGATTTGAATTTCTTTATAATACAATAATCAAATTCAAAATAGAATTAAAAAAGAAATGTAATAAAAGAGATGCTCGTGTGAGAAGTAATCGAATCAATGTAATCCCAATTATCACTGTTAAAACTAGTAGAATCTTTATATGAAAATGAGTGTCTTCCCGGTTACTTCTTTGACTTCTTGAGGTCAGGGTTATTTCTCATAAGGCTCCTAGCTGTTTTTTTTTTGTTTTTTTTTAAGATCATTTTTATAATTAGGAGAGGAGAACAAAATGGTTTCCTGACATAAAAAGACGACTTGAAATGAGATCTCACAATTTGGAGCTGAGTAACGTGTTTCTTCCACCAGAGATGCTTTTGCACTGATGGTCCTAGAGCTGCCAAGAAGTAATATCCGTACATCCAGACGTGAACAAACGCATTTAAAGCCCCAGCGAGCACAGCATGTTCATCTAAAATCAAAAATGTCTATTAGTTTCCTGCAACACAATGTGTTGACAAGGCGCGACTTTGACGCGTATATATCAACCTCATTAGTTTTCATTTACAGACATTTTAATGTAGTAAGTAATACATGAAGGGAATTCACGATCCAACGCTGCAACGCGACTTCTACCACGCACCTGGACGAGACGGTGTATTGTGAGCGTAGAAAAGGCATTCGAAGGAGTTGAAAATGTTTGATCTGCCACAAGTAAAAACTTATCAATTTCTTAATGAACAGTGTTTACGGAGTATTTTAAGCCAAAAAAAGAAGAAAAAATTGTCGGATTCCTGGAGAATAAAGTCGATTTAAAGTTATTTTGAGGCTGTAATACTGCCGTGCTAAGGAAAAACGCCGTATGAACCTTCAGGCGTTACCAAATTTTCATTGATAAAACGCGAATTCCCTGGTAAAATTATGAATATTTTGCTCCCAATTTTTCAGAGTATTTTTTTCGCAATTGCACCTGTAGTTCCTGAAAATTTCAAGGAAAAATATTCATAGCTTTTCTAAAAAATGAACATTTTATCGCAGGAAATCTGGCAACTCTCGAATGTTCATACGACGTTCTTCCTTAGCACGGCAGAATAGCCAAATCACCGGCAGTAAATCCTGTTATATTATTGGTAAGAAATTGACTCGATATAAATGCAATCGCATTGAATATGTCTTGATTTTGTTGTTTCCAACATCTTTTCGTGCAAGAAAGTTGCATGAAAGTAACTTGGAATATCAATTCCATATTTAAGAGATAAATTTTGAACATTTCAATCTGATGGGCTATTTTTAAGTGAAAATTTGATGATTTGAGCCCCTCCCGAGTAGTTACTTTATTTTTAAGAAAGTAAAATAGGCGCATCATTGTTTAATTTAGGTACACTCGGGTCTTTGCAAAATAGCATACGCATGAAACGAAGTCTCGCTTACCTTTCATATATTTGAGAAACATCCAAGTTAGAATAAGCATGTTGACGTGGTGAAAAACATGCAGGAAAGATACGTGAGATTGTTGTTTTCTTAGGACAAAAAATACCTGCAGAAAAATAGAAAGAGAATCAATGTAAAAGTGAATGCAATGCATTGTAAATACACAAGCAGAATTAGCACTTCGTAAGCAGTTTCCAAAGCTACAGTCATAAAAGCAATGCCAGCAGCGTGTCAATACATCCGCTCCCTATCCAAAGTGGTTTTGAAGCAAAAAAAAAAAAAAAAGCGACTTGCAAAAATGTACTCAAAAACGGTTTGCAGGGTGTGAGTTACACGTGGACTTAAAAACGCGGAAAATCAAAATCTTGGCTGATCCTAATCTCGAGATACCGCAATTCGAAATTCTCATAGTGAATGCAAGTTGTCTACTGATTTTAATCAGCTTTTTTATTTATTTGTCCTTGGAATCTGTTTTGATCGGTTCACGTTTTTATTCTGCGTTCGATTCATTTCGATCGAATACATACCCTTTCGTTACATTCAGACTTCCCATCATACTTTTTTTTAACTGAACATTTTGCCTTCTGCTTCGTCTGCAGCAATTGTTGTTACGAATATGTTGGGCGTGCTGGTTATAGGTCATTACATACTCGACTCTCTGAAGGCGTTTTTTGTGCACTAGTAGCGCAATCTTTCGGAAAACGAACAAAGTAGGGATTAATCGATTCGTTCAATCTCACTTCTTTTGTTCTCCAATAGGGTGCTCTACTGTCGCACATTAAACGCCTTCAAAGAGTCAAGTATGTAATGCGCTGAGATCAGCACGCACAACATATTCGTAACAACAATTGCTGCGGACGCAGCTGAAGGCGAATTGAAAACAACCTCGAAACAACAAATTTGTAGGAGGACTTTTTAGGGCTGAAAATTTGTAACTCGGTATTTATTATCTTTTATTTTAACTCAGTTTATGTTCTAGTTTATACAATAAAAAAACAAATTACACAGCGGGTAAGAAGGTTAATTTTCACGTAAATATCACCGAACAGTTTCGCCCGAAAACTCAGCCTTCTTCGGTTGGATAAATAATAGTTTTTCCTCCCGAGGAAATAGTTTCCTCCCGTGAAAATAGTTTTTTTCCGAAGGAAATAGTTTTCCCTCCCGAGAAATCCGTTTTTTCTCTCCAGCCAATAGTTTTTTCTCCTCAGGGAATAGTTTTCTTTCCTGAGAGAAAAGTTTCCTCCCCCGAGAGGATGGTTTTCTTTACCGAGAGGATACTTTTTTCTCCCGAAAGAAAATCGAATAAACGTATTTTTCTCGCTTTGTAAGGTACAGCCAAGTACTACTTTTTTAGATTTTTACAATTTTGTATTGTTTTATCTAACTGAGGAAGGCTGACTGTTCAGCCGAAACGTCTTGGTGATATTTACGTAAAAATTAGCCTTCTTACCCGCTATATTAACCTTGTTCTTCTATAGAAGTAGAAAGGGTGTCAAGGTTAAATCGCTGGACCACAGAGGGGTGTCCTATGGATCAAGATACGAGTTCCAAGTTTCGTCCCTTCCATAGGCAATACATCTCTTTTTCCAACAAACTTTGCCCCAACTCAAATTCCAGCTGAAATGGCGTTATTAGATTGCATCAAGAGTCTTGACGAGTGCGAATTTTTTTCAAGACGAGGACTTACCGTATCTAATAGATCGTTCACTTTCGACATGAAATAGTACCACCCTCCGGTTAAGACCTGAAAAAATAATAAGTTGGATACTGATTATACTTGTATGAAAAGGGACCATCGGCGTAAGTTGAATAATTGTAAGGACTGGCGGATCTAGAAAATTGGCAACATTGTTCATCTCCATTTAAACCTATGAAAATTGAAAAACGATGACTCCGCGAGTCTAAATATTAGAGCCCAACATAGAGCGGAACAGCGCTGCCAGCGCTAAACGCGCACTGGCGCCTACAAACCTAAGGGGATACTTCACGCATTGCGCAATGCTTGAAGTATCCCTTTAGGTTTGTAGGCGCCAGTGCCAGTTTTGTGCTGGCCGCCGCGCCGCCCGCCGCGCCGCCAGGTGCTCCGACAGGAATCGATTAATTAACATATGTTCAAAGGGAGGGAACCCGGTGTTGCAAAATTGCTGGACCCGCCTCTGATTGAAAGAAGTACCACGACTAAAGATATTCACTTACAGCTCGACGCGCAACTGATGAGCGAAAACGTATTAAAAATGTATCTATTTTTTTTTTTTTTTTTTTTTTTTTTTTTTTTTTTTTTTTTTTTTTTTTTTTTTGAAAGGAGCAGCAACACTGCGCTACTTTAAAATCCAACCAAGAGAGAAATTTAAAATCATTGACTTTGATTTTACTTAAAAATGTTTAAGTATTTGGTTTGATTTCTAATCTATTTCGTCTCGTCTGTATTTCATTAGGTACGCAAAGACCAAGCGGCGTATTCATCAATGAAGACATTTTTTAAGAAGCTCATTTTTTTGGGAAGATCCTAACGGTTTCCTTTATGGCTAAGGCAGGCTTGAAGGCTTCTAGCATACCATCATAAAATATACTTTTTTCCAAACCTGGAGTAAAATTAAATATTATATCTTCGGCGACAGATCCTTACAATGGCTTAAAATGATTCATCGCAGCAAAAATTACAAGGAGTAGGAGAAAATATATGAAGGATTAAGAAAATATTGAGGTCACGATCTACCTTAAAGTTTATAAAAACCATGAAATTGGCTGTCTGTTAGCTACGATATATGACATTTCCCTCGTATTCTGTATCTTTTGCAGTGGTAAATCATTTTAATCCCTTGCAAATATCTCTCCGAGTCATACTCTTGAACCTCCAAGTTTGTAATTTTTTTCTTCCTTTTTATGATGCCATGTTAGAGACCTTCTCAAGCTTACCTTACATGCAATGAAAACCATAAGGGACCTGCCCAAGGAATGGCGCTATTCAAGGACCCTTTTTGAATACGACCCGTAGTTTCACGGTAATCCCCCTAGCAAATATTTGTCCCCATATTTTTGATAGTCCGAGCCAAGGGACATCAATTATTGAAGTGTCAAATGTTAGAGATCAAATGAGGGATTTTGTCATAAAATCCTACAGTCCAGTTGCCACATTTCCCTTCCACATCCATGTATTTTTGACGACATTCATGCACATTTTTATTTGAAATTTTCAGATATTTTAAATTGAATTCCGTACAACATAGTCTGACAATTTTGGGGGAAATATTCACGCTATTCCCAGTTAATTCGGTTTTATCGGAGGAAATTTGGCAACACCTTAAGGCTCATACGACATTTTTCCTTAGCATGGCAGAATAGGACACCAGAAAAACGTAACAAGAGTTTACCGAAATCGGCTGACCGCAGTGTCCGCTAAGGCCACCATCTCGAAAAAAAGCGTTCNGGGGGGGGGGGGGGGGGGGGGGGAGGGAATACGCCGCCGGCGATCGCTTTTTCGCTTAAATCTGAAAAACAATCAATCTTACGGGAAAATGTCTTTGGACCTTTTATTAAGAGCACATAATTTCTTATGAGAAACACTGTACATTTATTAATTTGTGACTCCCAGGTTTCCAAACTGACTGCATGAACCGTTTAATCAAGTTTACATAGCCATTCTTTAAACTTATTATCTCTCCTCTGTTTCTACAGTTCCTTTCAAATTTAATGCTGCATCGTCGTCTCCAATCACTCCAAACATTGTGCGGCCGCTAGTCAGCATGGAAAGTATATTAGCGCCTGCAAGAGTGCAGGAATACTTCACGCATTGCGTCTAACACACTACGGTCGCAAGTCGGCGCGGCAAGACGTATTAGCGCCTACAAGGGTGCAGGAATACTTCATGCATTGCACCAAACACAGTCCCGCGGCCGTCGCGTCGCTAGCCGGCGCGTCGTGAGACGCGCATAGACGGTGAAACTCCCAGACCACGGAGCTCGCATTGCGACGTGGCAGACTTCCTGTCGTACTTCATTTTTTAAATAGAAAATTATTCATCGTCAATTCTTGAATACTTTCATGTTTTTTCCTCTTTGTGCAAAGAAAATTCTGTGAAAATTTTAAGGTGTGATATTTATTTGTTCTCCTTCAAAAAAGTAAAACTCCGCGCCGCAAACGAGATACGCGGTCTGGCAGTTCCACCGCCGATATGGGCAAATCTACGAAGACTGTCCCATTTGACCTTCATAAAACTATATATTCAACTTAATTATTTTGGATCAATGGTTTATTTTCCTAGTCAAGTATAGTATCAGGCTTAAAATTTTAATACGGGTACCTCTTTTTATCAGGCATCCTACCCCTTATTCGTGCCCACAAAATGTCTTCTGCAGTTTGACGAGCGTAATTGTGACGGTCGTAACAAATGTAAACAAACACAGCGGGAGCATTTGTAAAATCACTTATCTGAATGCGGATATTAATGGCACATGCATTGTTTCTAAAGTGAGCTGAAAATCGTAGATCCTAATTGCAAAATGTAGTCAATCCATAAATAAGTTTGGATCGGCAAATTTGTGGCAAAATTTGTAGTTTGCTTGGTATTTTTGTCAAAAATTGACAAATCGAGATACCTCTGTGATAACTGGAATATATTTTAAATCAGTGTGATAGGACATCTACCAAGCCATTAAACCAAACGCCAAATCTGAACATTGGCTTCCGATGAGCGCATATCGATGGCGAAACTCCCAAACCACGAACCTAAATTTGCGACGTTGTAGACTTCCATTCATACTTCATTACCCATAACAACTACTCGGAACCATTACTGCGTTTAAATGGAACTGCTCAACGTCAACTCTTTTGAATTTCCGTGATTTTTCTTCTCTAGGTTAGGCAAATTCTGAAGAAACCTCAAGGAATGATGTTGATTTGTTCTCCTTGAAAAAAAAATGAGACAAGAGGAGAGGTTTTTAATTAGCACAAACGAGATATTTGATTTGGGAGTTTCAAAGTCGGGACACGTTCCCACATACTTATTCGAAGTATCCCGGAAATTTACAAGGAGGAGTAAAACTTACAGGTAGAAAATAGGGATTATTCCTTCTTCCTAGAGGCTTGCACATGTGCTCCTTTGCATAGGTCATACTTCCGGGAGTTGAAAATAGCTGAAATATTGAAGAAACACAGAGACAAGAATTACCTACTGATTTTTGTTTTGTGAATTCGGAATTATTGAATACAATATTGATACAAGAACCACAGCAATGTTTCGTCGGTCGGGATGTTTTGTAATTTGGGCTTTTTTTTATTTTGCCATGGACATACTGAGTCATTTTCGTCGGATTAGAGTAGTTCACACTGGGGTACGCAATAGTCAAACAGTCGATAGTATTTTGGATAGTTTGAGACAAATTATCCAAAATCTTTCAAAGTGTGAAAATTCATGTTTTACAGGCACCTAGCAATCGTCGGACTTTTGTAAGCCACTGGTAAAGTGGTGAAGGAATAGAAATGCATAAAATTCAGATTATAAAATGCAGAAGAATAGTATTGAAGTATGTCACTGCTTTACTTGCCCTCATTAAAGCTATAGACACCTGTTCCTCAATCATTCACGCCTCGCCACTAGTATAGTCACTTGTATAAAAACCATCAGATGGTCGTTCACTAAACCAATACAAGGTTTTCATTATTTCTTCATGCAGACATTGACTAAAATAATTGTTATAAACTCACCAACCAGACCAGCCATCCGTTAAACAATACTTGGAATAGATCGTACGCTATTATGAGCTTCTTTATTTTCAATGGCTTCCTACTTTCCATAATTTTGGGGCCCAACTTGAGGACGAAAAATAAATAAGCAACCACAATCCAAAATACTGGCTGGAAACTGCCCATCAGAAACCAACCGTCCACGACATCGTCTGAAATTGACATCAACATCTCTGAATAATTAAACTATACATGGTTAAACGACCCGTCGCACAGTGGATCCAGTCAATCAGAGAGGTCGGACATTAATTTTTTAAAAAATATTGCAAATTTTGATGTCTGATTCGTCACAAATCAAATTTCAAAGGGTGTCTCTAAAATAATATTTCACGAGGAAACCTATGAAACCATTTCGATGGCGTAAGTTCGCAATCACATATCTCGTTTGCGGTGTCTGAAAATCTCCGCCTCTATGTTATTTTTTTAAAGGAGAACAAATTGACATCAGTCCTCGAAGTTTTTGTAGAATTTTCTGATAAATGGGCGTAAATTTTACAACCCCGCAACAATAATATGTCTTTCTTGAATTTCAATATTCATGTACAATCTTTGACTAAAAATGATGGTTCATGAATAGATCTCTAAGTAAGGTGCGGAAAAGTAGCTTACCTCTAACAAGTTCGCTTTTCAAGAGATCTATTTTCTCCTCCACCCAGTTTCCCCTTTGTATCTGCGTCATTGTGCAAGCCTTGGATCCGAGGGCTCAGTGCGTTTAAATTCACTTCCTTACAAAAAAATATATATATATCACAACGTAACAACTATTAGAAATGTGTTAAAATCTGCAGTATCGTGAATGAACGATATTTTTGCTATTATGAAAAATAAATAAAAGCGCCGCCTGATTCTAGTGGTTCGTCCCAGATTCTGGCGTGATCAAAATAGCATGCGGTACATGACATTGATCAAGTTAAAAATTTTGGAAGATTTTGAAGTTTTGTCCAAAAGGAACTCGCTAACCCTTGCGCATGAGCTTCAAGGAATTATTCTCAATCAAAATAGTTGCAAAATTCAAAAAAACGGACTCAGGATATTTTTTTTGTTTTTTTTTTTTGGAAAAAACCCTCGCACCCGATACAGATTTTGATTATTGAATCGAATGCGAGGTATTTTCATCCAAAAAGTCTTGCCTTCATTTTTCTGAATTTTGCAATTTTTTTGGTTGAGAATAATTATTTGAAGCTCATGCGCAGGAGCTATCGTTTTTTATTTTATTTTAATTTTTTCATTTATTTTATTTTTTGGTTTTTTTTTTGCTAAAAATGCAATATCTGTTAAAATTTTTGACTTAATCAACGCAATATGTCAGGCCAAATTACCTCAGTAAATCCTTCATTCTCCATGTATTTTGCGCAAATAATATGCCATCATTTTAAGCATTGCAGTAAATTCGTCAATGTAATCTACATTTTTATATATTTGTATATGTCGAAGGCAAATAGTCAAATCAGGCATTGTATCAAATGCCTAGGCAGATACTCAAATTTTCAGTGTTTACGAGGTTTTTTATGTTTTCACAAATACCTCTCTAATTTTCAACATTTTGAGACTGAAAATCCGCCAAAGCACGAACTGTCACTTTATTTCCCGTTCAAAAATGCTCCTCATTATTCTTCAACGGTCCGAATTGTGAAAACTTTTCATTTCACGAAATACTGCATGTTTTGAGATTTTGCACTCAAGGACCAGGAAAAACGTATTTATAATCGTATTGAACAAGTTTTTAAAGGGAATTCATTTCCACATGATCAGAGGATTATTTTGTCTACATGCAGTCAGCAAAATAATCAGAATGTCAGTCTAAGTGCGAATATTTGACTAGTTGCCTAGGCATTTAACAAAATGCCTGATTTGACTATTTGCCTTCGAAATCTATAACAAGGTGGTAAAATGACGCTGGGTCCCCACCATTTTGCATTTTTTTCTCATTTGTATATGTGTGTATCGTGTACATGAGAAGATCTCTCGCAATCTCTTTATTTATAAAACGTCGTGCAATGAAACCGACTTTAACAAAGACGCACCAAGTTAAATCAAGTTGGAACCAAGAGTCAGAGTTGTAAGGTTTTGTTCCTCCAAAAGACTCAATGCGTATAACGTTTAACAACTATTTCATAATAAAAAATTATTTTCTCGTCTTGGAATTTTTGGAAGGAAAAAACTTACGGCTGGTTGAATTTAAAATGTCACCTAATTTATTTTTGCACAAAATTCGATTTGCCCAAGTAGCACGGATCGCAAAAAATTCCGATTACATAATCAAATTATTGCTGCTGCATCGGCGTGGTGTGAGCGCTGCTTATTTGCCGATTGAAGTAAAGCTTCGATTGAACTTTATTGCAATAAAATTGTAATAAATTGAAATTTTTTATTGCATTGCAAATTGCCTTTTATTCTGATATATGGACCTAATTTTTTTTATTGTTAATCGGTCTTCGGGCCGCGTTGAGCAGAGAGGAACTTAACCACATTACGACGGTGAAACTACCAAACCACGTATCTCGGTTTGCGACGTCGCAGACTTCCTGTCATACTTTATTTTTTAAATGAAAAACTACTTGACGTCCAGTCTTGAAAATTTCTGTGATTTTTCCTCCTCGTGCGGAGAAAATTCTGTGAAAATTTCAAGGAATGATATTGATTTGGTCTACTTCAAAAAAATGAAATGCGAGCGTAGATTTTTAGACACCGCAAACGAGATACATGGTTTGGTAGTTTCACCGTCGATTAGCTATTGCCAAAATTTGATGTAATTTAATTCTTTACAAGAGAACGTTTGTGTGGATTCCTTTGAAAATCTAGGAGAATTTGCTTCGTACTATGCAGAAAATTCACTTAGCTTTACCCAAAAATTCACACAACCGTTTACGGATGAAAAATGAAATTGCCCAGTTAAATTTTGTAATAGCAGATGTGACTTAGTTTATTTCTGCTTAACGCGGTCCATTTATCGACCGAATAACGTAAAACTATTGCAATTTCACAATATAAAAATTAAAAAATGTTTGCATTAAATTAGGATTTAATTTCAACATTTGCATCACAAGGTACTACTTGGGTGATACGGTCGTGTTAAACTCGGTCCAATGAATGCAACGTAAACACAAACGACACCGTATTATTGCGACCGTACATTGATGAAAAAGAAAACTCACGGAGATGAATGGCAAAATCACGGTAGGAAATAAAATGATGGTACGCAGAAACGTGTAAGTTCTTGTTTACATCACAGTGACAATTTTAAAAACAGACATATGGTCTATGAATTAACTAAGACACTTTTGGGGGAAAGTAAATTAAAATGAAGAAAGTATTATTAAGTAAAATTACCTCGGTTAAGTTTCAGAGAGTGAAAAAGAGAGGAATAGCTGTCATTGACAGGTATCTAAGCTACAGCTATCAGTACAATCATGCGGAGCTGGAAATGTCGGTAGAGATCACCCCGGCGTTTGTAGAGTAACTGGCATTTGATGGCGGCGCAACAAGATCATTCACTAACCGAAAAATTTCCCGGCAAATTCCGTTTTAAACTTTCGTTATTTTTTATTGATTCATTCCTTAATTATTTATATATTGGTTTTTTCTCCTTAACGTCGTGCTAAGCCACCGCCCTACGGTGATTTTCAGTTTATCACCCTACATGTAAGGCACCATGAAGGCCTTGGACCGAGTCATCTCATCGCATAACTCCAAACTCGGTTTAATTGGCCAGTTCCAAAATAAAACTTTGTCATCGAAATCCGCCCACTGGATAGTTGTAAACTATACAAGGTGATGCAAAGTTTAACCACCAGACTCCTGGAGCGTCTTCTATGGGTTAGAATGAGACGTTTTTCTAAGTGATTTTTAAGGAAGCTGTAAGCTGTAGTAGCCCACAGCCTCTTCCCTGAAATTTTTTGGAACTAAATACTGCGGTGCTAAGGAAAAACGCCGTAGGAACATTCGAGAGTTGCCAAATTTTCCCGGATGAATTAGGTATTTATGAAAAAATGTATGCATATTTTTGTTTGAAATTTTCAGACATTTTAAATTAAATTGCAAACAAAATAGACTGAAAAATTTTGAGGAAAAATATTTACAACTTCTCCAATAAATACCTTTTTTATGGAGAGAAACTTGGTCAACGTCTGAAGGCTCATACAGCGTTCTTCCTTAGCACGGCAGAATAGCTTGTCATGCATTTCGGCACTGAATCTCATAAAAATTGTTAAGCTCCCATAATTTAGAACACTGAATTTGTTAGTGACATTAGAATAATTTGAATCTCAGTTACTTAAAAGTAGAGTTGCAGGGGGAGAGATCCGAAAATTCCACCTTGATAAGCCAAAGTACCAAGTTATTGGCCTCTTTAATTCCCAAATCTTCCCGAAATCCCCATTTTAACTGATATCATGATTTTTTAAAGCAATTAATGAACACACCGTATACAAAAATGGGGCTCATTTCCATGAGATTCGGCGCATAATCGCTGCCAAAATGCAAAAAAATCAACTTGGGTACTTTCCAGAACTTTGGAAGGCTGCAGTCCCCTTAAATAACACCTTTGAAAAAATTTAATAAAAGAAAAAAAGTCTTATTTTGACCCGTTGAACACGATTTTGCAGCCTGGTGGTTTAACCCTGTCGTTACCAACTTTGTAAGTACGACTCAGGGCCAATAGCACTAGCTTTTAGTTTGTCTCAAATTTGATGTTTCCGTGATCTGACTCAAACTCTGCCAAACTGTAGAAAAACGCGCATGAACATTTGAACGTTGGCAAAGTCCCTCTGATAAAACACGAAATCTCTATAATACATGTAACTTTTTTGGTTGAATTTTCAGAGAAGCGTAGTTGCAGTTTAATGGTGCGTATATTTGAACATCTCAATGGGAGATATTCATTCCTTTGCTTAAAAGTAATTACTATATCGAATGAAATGTGGCAGCACTCAAATGTTCCTATGGCGCTTTTCCTCAACATGAAAGTATTGATGGTAAAATTCCCAAACCATCTCGGTTTGCAGCGCTGAAGACCGCTTGTCAACTTTTGTAATTTCTACCTATACTGAGCATCGTCTCTTGAAAATTACCGTAATTTTCCCCCGTTAAAAGAAAAATATCTTATAAAATTTACAATACATATATGATGCTGGTTCGTTTATTCTAAAAAAAAATGAAACATAAGAGAAGAGTTTAGAACACTGCAATTCGGCGGAGGATTTCTCTGTCGTTTTGTGCTGACTTCTCCGTTTATCCGCTCTAATCCGAGAAAAGTAAGCCAACTATTCTCTCACAATTTGATCGAATTTTTACCCTTAAAAGGAATTCTAATCCGCGAAAAAAGACATGGATGAGAATCGTGATGATAAAACACGCTAAAAGCTGTAAAATGTTCATTCAAAGAGCACATTCCGTCAATGGGGAAAGAGATGAAAATGTTAATCATTCAAACTTTATGCTTGTCTAAAAGTATTTTAGCTGTAAGTAACCTTAACCTTTCAACACAAGGACAATTCTTCTTTTCCACTTATAAATATATTAAAAAATTATACTCCTAACTTAGCTTCCCAGGAAAATTTTTGGTTGCTTAACATTTTCTATTCGCTGTTGTTTGTCCGGAATTGTTTTTGCCCTAAAGACGTTTTATTTTGCCCTCTTATCAATCCACTACCTCTTCTATTCTCGCAAAACCACCCAAGGAACATATTTCAACGGGTAAATCCTGCTATTTTGAAATTCAGTTACCATTTTTGAGCGATAACATTTTTAGGATCATCAACATCTGAGGGATTATTCTCAATCTTGTCGCAATTTTATCTCTATAAAATGGCGTTCGATAAAATCGAAATTCTGTCTCCATTCATCATGACTTATTGTTCGATAATATTGCGGTACATCGCCGTCAATAAAATCGCGATTTTATTTCAAGTGTATGTGATGAAATCGCAATTTATTCCAATTTTATCATCCGATAATGTTTCGATAAATCGACGACGATAAAATCTCGATACGTTCACCGATCAAATCGCAACTTTTTGCCAGTGGCGAGGCGTGAGCGATCGATTATCGATTTTTCCCAATGTGAAGCTTATGATAAAGAATTGATTATTAAAGTGTTCGTTGCGAACGTCCTGTTCATCGATCTTTGTCTATAGGTTCAAATGGCGGATCAATCGATGTATCGGAATGCACGCCACGCTACTGCTTTTCGCCATCGCACTGCTACTTGGACGCTTGGTTTTTTTGCTCCGAGGATTAACCTGACTTCCTCGCCCCTAAAAAATTTAAATTTCTGATACTGCTCACCCTCCGTCTAATTTTTTATCGCTCTTTTTCTTGTATAATTTTGATTTTAAAATAGAATCAAGAATCCCCCCCCCCATGATAATACTTCCCTCGTGAAGTTACTTTGACGGTAATTACAGCGTTATATAAATGCTCCGACACGACGCATGCTTTCTCTGCAAAGATTCATGTTATCCTGTTTCACTTTGTGAAAAATAAATATTCAGAGCATCACAAATTGTAAGATATTATCTTTGTATATTTTGTATTTTTAAATACCCGGATGTTGACATAACGAAAATAGGCAATATAAAGAGAGAGGAAGGGTTTTATTGTTTCACTTTTTAAATTTAAAAAAAAATCCTTAGATATGTAAAAATCAGAATGTGCAATAAACGAGAGGGGTTATTCAGGATACGAGTTGACAATAAGGGATGAGTTTTCATTTTTCACAATAATTGGACAGCTAGTGATCAAAAACAAAGCCAAGACTATAAGGGTCTCCTTTTCCGACGAGTGACACAATATCATTGAAAACCCACTGAATGTATTTAATTAGGCTTCGATTACATTTCAACGGAGATCATGTGGTTTTCTTATTCTTTTCCTCGCCAATTGTGGCTTTCGTCCCTTTGGTGTATGTTCTGAAGTAGAACTCGAGGAAGAAATAAAGAAAAACGAAGATGTTCACTGCGATGTACAAGGCGAGAGATATCAGCACTTTGCATCGATACCAAATTAATACTCCAATATATGCCAAAATTATAACCAAATGACCCTGGAAAAACATAAACGGCAATTAATGATTTTTTCGGAGTATAGAGTCTAATGCTATGAAACTCAATAATATAGTTAAGAAAAAAAATGAGTTAATAAATAAATTAATAATCTCAATAAACTATTGCATTCTTTATGTAGGTACTCGTCATAGACGAGACTAAATTACATGTTCATAAAATTAATGCTTCCAATATCACACGAGCGTCGAGCGAGGAAGTCTACTATTTTCGAGAGTACGATTATTTTGAGGTGCAGAATCTGTTTTTGACCCTGATCATTCAAATAAATGGACGTATTTATGGTGAATGGAACTATGTTCAAGTGGGAAAATGGGGTGTGCTCGTTAGTGGTCGGGCCATAAGAATGAATGGGAAGTATAAAGCGCCAGTGACGTCAGCGGCAACGAACGAGCCCGAGCAGGACGGGGAGTTCGGTGGCGGGACTCTTTAACTGATGAGCCCTGTCCGCAACGCTCTTGTCGCATGTCCACGGCTCACGAGTTATCGCTCAATTCCTTTTCATTTAATGTCAAATCCCACTTTTCCATTTTCTCAAAAGCAACTATATCCACTGACCATATTGTTTCTTATACAGCTCCCACGAGCCCATCTTTCCACTTGCACATAGTTCCTTTTAGCATAAATACGTCCACATGAAACCCCTGTTTAGAATCATGACCTGTGTGTCACCAAGCATAGTTTGTCTTCATGCATATTAAACAAGTACAGGGCAAATACCATTATCATGCCAAATTAGGTATCCCGCAAGTTCATACATGGTACGCGGGTAGATAGTCAATTAAATTTACTCAATTTAATTCGACATTAATCTATGCGTGAAATGTTGACTAAGGAATTCGGTTTGATCAATGACTGAGAAATAATTTTTTTTTAAATATTCATCATTTATTTTATTTTTTATTTCGTATTCCAGGATGATTAGGTCCGCTTGGTGGTGTATGATCCACTTCAATTTCCGCCACATCACCCATTCACATTCGTAAACTGACAATACCTTCGTACGAATTTTTCCTCCTGATGTTCTTTATTCTCTGAAACTTCATGTGAACTCAATTTTTTTGTCTTTAAGCGGTTGATGGATCTTTCACACGCCTTTCAAAATTATAAGAGAGGAGGGCGGAATGTAATCCGAAGGAAGGTTTCAAAAATAGGGCTTACTATTTGGAGTTGAGTCATGTGTTTCTTCCACCAAAGATATTTCCGCATCGGCGGTCCTAAAGCTGCCAACAAGTAATAAGATGACATCCAGATATGAACGAATGAATTCAAAGCTCCGGCTAACACGGCATGTTCATCTGAAATTTGAAAAATTCATTAGTTCACATAGTAACATCTCAAAGTTTTCATAATTTTGTCCAATGCAGTCTCATTAAAGCGCAAGCGAAATGAGAAAAATAACGCTTGTCACAGGAAATCAGCAACCGCCGACACTTTTCAAGCGGTATTATGAGTGCTCATGATATTACATGATGATTTTCATCGTTCTGATAAAGATTTCATTTGTTAAGAACTTCAAAAGCGCGATCTCGGGTTAGAGCGCCCTCGACTTTCCGTGATACTCTCCGCTTTGCCGCGAAGTTAGTTTAGTTGCCGGTCTGGACCAAACCTAACTGGGGTCAATGATTTCATTACGTGCTCACGCGAGCGTGCTGCTACAAGTGCGAACTGGACTAGATTCTGCAATTCGGAACTATAATTTCTGGCTCATTTGTAAAAACGCGTATGTACATAGGGAAACTAATGGCGCATGCACTGTTTCTAAATTGAGCCAGAAATTATAGTCCCTAATTGAAAAATTTAATCCAATTATGAATTCAATGAATTATTTGTTGTCTTGTGTTGGCCCGACAGGTAGGGTTCCCCTTTGGGTGCCACCTGTTATTTTTTGGTCTTTTTCTTATCTCATCATGGAATAATAAATTAATCATCTTTGAATAAGGAGAGGAAAGCGTCTATTTTCATTCCAAACATAATAATCAGTGCTTTCTATAATTCATTCTTTAATTCTGATGTTTTACATTTTTCTTTTCAACGTTCATACAAAGAGAGCAAATTTCCCGTGACAACTTTGAGCGGATATTGTGTTCATTGATGTCCTCCGTTTTTTGGAACAAAAATGATACTTATGGTATCAAATCTAGGATTTTTCGTTTTTATGCAAACTCAAGACAAGTAAGTATGGTGTGCTTGTTTTCTTCCTTGTCTTTTTTCAAAGAAGAGAAAAATCAGGAATTTTTAAATTTCCTTTTTTCCAAGATTAATTATACTTGAGCAGTTGTCATGTTACGAAAAAAAAAGATAAGGAAAAAGTAAACAGGTCGCGCATACATTTTTACCAAGATTTTGGGACACGAAAATATTTCATAATATACGCTGCTCGATGCCTCTGGATTTCTCACCTTTCATGTATTTGAGAAACGCCCAAGACAGAATAAGGACGTTGACGTGGTGAAAGACGTGAAAGAAAGTTATATGAGATTGTTTTTTTCGTAAGACGAAGAATACCTGCAAAAAAGAAGGAAAATATCAACAGAACATCGACTTCATTATAGTGCAAAAAATACGACCTCTCATAGCAGTTCTGCGTAAAAAGTCCTCATGAAAAATCCTATAAATTCAAATTATAGTATCTACTAATTAGCGATTGTTTCGTTGCATATCTAGATGAGCGACTCAAAACTCTGCGAATTTTTGAAGAAATATACATAGATAAGATTACGCTTTGCGTGATTAAGAAAAGTTCTTCATTGAAGGCAACAAAATTAAAATTGGATGTGAAGATGTCTTTAAATTTATCTTGCCTCAAAGATCCGCGCACATTCTTCATTTATATAGAATTGAGGGTTAGATCAAGAATTACCCCTCAGAATAATTTCAATTTTTCAACGGACTAATCAAGATGAGTTCTTACCGTATCTAATAGATCGATCAATTTGGAAATGAAGAAGTACCAGGACCCTGTTAAGACCTGAAATAAGATTAAATCCTTTATCAATAACACTTATATCTACCAATCTAATCACAAACAACATAGATCGTTTATTTTAATTATAAAATCAACATTAGCCTTTTACGTTGAAATTGTAATAAAAGTTAGACTTACTGGCAGAAAATACGGATTATTCTTCCTTCCGGGGAATTGGCATATGTCTTTTCTTACGTAGAGCATGCTTCCAGGAGTGGTGAATAGCTAAAACATTAAATAAGAGCAAAAGGAGAAAAAAATAATGAAAGGTTTTTAAATTAGCACGATGAACATTGCTGCTTACAAATTGAAAATGAAACCAGAAAGCACTATTTCGATCGCTATGTTTTCACATTTCCGGTTCCGTTTTCCTCTCTCGAAAGGAAAATATTACTAATTACTTTAAAATATAATTTGGGAGAAAAATCTCAGTAACAAATATACTGTACTTCAGTTCATATTAAATACTGAAGTTTTTCGACTCAGGTAACCCAAATTATCGGTCACAGAAGCTACACTACGGTTAAGTGGCCGGCTAATGTTTGGTGTTTAGTATGAACCAAAATCAGTCTGTTACCGAACTTCTTGATTTAGTTTTTGTCCAAAAAATACTTTTAGGTAGTTGATGAAAAGCAGGAGAAAATTTCTCGAATTACATACTGTTTGCTCTCCCTTATGAAAATAAACTAAGGGTTGTGAACGATTGTCGCAAATCGAGAACTGTCGATAAATGGCTACTACTTTTTTATAATTTGAGAGCGAAATGCCGCACCATTAAGATCTCAATGGACATTTTTTATGCAAAATGTTATTTTTTCCAATATCTCATCCAACATATTGTCTTCCTTTTCTGTGTGAGTATTTTCCTTGAGCCATGGCGTATTTTCAGACGAATCAGAAACCGTGTTTTGTCACATGAGACTCGAGGAGCTTGGAGGACAAGGCACAAAGAACAGTTTTTTTTAAAACAAAAAAATTGAAGTATTAATGCTTCAACTGAAACTAATCTTAAAATATATTCAGTGAAATATTAATAACTAAAATCCAATTTTCAGGCATCAAAAGGTGAAAAATATTTCTGCCATAATGTTCCATGTAATTTTTAAACTTATAACATGTATACTTGAAATTATACAGAAACTTCACTTAAATACTTCTTGCCCTCCAAGCCCCTAAATCGATTAACCTATCAAAACACTGTTCATGGAATCTATTTTTCCTCCATTCTTGGTGATGCAGCCTGCTTCATCTGAATGGATATTTTTAATGACTTGAATTGGGCGAATTTCTATGAAACGGAACTATGTGCATCATAATGCACATAGTTCCGCAGTGCTCACGTCACTCTGAGCCCTGTTATGCACATATTATTATGTGTCTCAGGGCTCATGTCTCAATGCACTTAGTTCCGTTTGATAGAAATACGTCCAATTGAAGAAAAACAGTGTTGCCAACTTGTAAAATCGCCACTGATCTTAAACCGATCTCATATCATCTATTCCGAATGCTTCGATTTTTAATAAATCAAATCTAACTTTCCGCTTTGCCTTATTCCCAACTCTTGTAACTGATACAAGTTGTCATTAAAATAAAAACCAAGAAAGAACCTCTTTACCGTTTACTGTACCAACAAAGGGTTCTTCATTCGTTTTCACAAACATTAACGATCCTAATTGTAAACTTACCAACCAGACGAGCCAGCCATTGAAGAATATTTGAAATAGATTGTAGGCTACCATGAGTCCTCTTATCGGTAGGGGCTCCCTTTTTTCCATAATTTTGGGACCCAATTTGAGGACAAAAAGTAAGTAAGCAACAGCAATCCAAAAAACGGGCTGGAAACTATTCATCAAAAACCAACCGTCCACCACATCATCTGAAAATTAATATCCGAATATTTCAACAGTTAGGCTTCGCGTCTTTTTCATTCTTAAACTTTTTTTAAATTCGAAAAAAGCAGCTGAATTCTATTCGTTGATCGGATCATGCGTCGAGATTCGAAATCATTACGATACAAAAAAATTGATCCATAACATGACAATGAGTTAATACATAACCTACTCATTTGAGAATGTTTACGTTTCTACCCATGCGTTTGAGTCTCCCGGGAATAATGCTCTGGTGCACCAGTGCATGGCGATTATACAAATTGGTAATACTGTTTTTCCTGCGTTTAAATCAAATGAAAATATCGATTCTAGGTGGCACGGGCTAGTTCACCTAGAGTCAATTGTTTAACATACATTGAAATGAAGGAAAAACAGTGATGCCAACTTTCAAGTATCGCCACTGGGTGCCCTGTTTCTTTGCACGGTCATGACAAGGTCACATTTTACAATAGGGAATTATTATCTTTGGCTCATTTCAGAAACAATCCATGTGCCATTAATTTCCCTTTGCAGATAGATTCTTTTGTAAATGAGGCAGATATACCTAGTGTTTTCTTGCAATAAAGAAATACTTTTTCTGCAATATGGATCACATTTTCCAATCCGGAATTATTATCTCTGGCTCGTTTAGGAGACAACCTTTTTGTCAGTATAGTTTCCCTTTTGCAGGTATAGTAGGCTTTTTGGTGCGGATGAACCATGAACAGTGGCTCCTCATATCAAAAAGCAGTTCAATTTATGATGTTGAGAATTTTATACTATCATCTTTTTTTTTCTCGACAGGAAACCCTTTGAAAGTTTTTTCTTAAAACGAGGTCTAATTTGCCTCGCGCCTTGAGGTGATTTTTTCAAAATTTTATGTAAAATTTTTTGTAGGCTCCCTGGTGAAAAAGTGCAATGTAAACAGTAATTTTAACATGATCGGAATTGAGATATCAATTTGAGGTTGGAAACCTTTGCGATGTTTCAAAAATTTCGCTTCCTTTTAATTTTTCCAAAACCAACCAGTCAACTTTCCAAAACTTTTGAAATTTACATAAAATATATTTTGATGTCGGAGAAGGAAAATCGAGGGAGTTAACAAGAAATTACGTTGACTGGTTTTCTAAAGAAAAATTGAGTATGACAGGAAGTCTTGCAAACGAAGATACCGCACTTTGACCATGGATATGTATTACACAACTTTCACCACCGGTGCGCAAATTTCGACATCAATATTAGTTTCTAAATTGATCATGAACTTAACGTGCAGCAAAGCATCGACTATTACCTGTAACAAACTCGTTTTTGAGGAGCTCTATTTTTTCTTGAAGCCAAGTGCCCCTTTGAATCTGCGTCATTTTGCAAGCCTTGAATCTTAGAGACTGGTTACTATAGATCGGCTTCCTTGTGACAAAAATTACAGTACAATTTACCACACATTTGAATCTTATAGTTATTATGAAATCATTCTCTATAATATAAAATTATAAGATATCAAAGCGCTCCCTATTTTCTTTAAGGAGCACGTTTGCTAATGAGCTCTTCGGGCTGCGCGTCAAGCTGCACGTCAGGTGCAGTTGCGATTTTGCAAGTTGGTAACACTGTTAATACTCCATTTAAACCCGTTAAAAAAATCCATTTTACGAAGCGATGTTTTCGCACGCATTTAAATGGAGGGAAAACAGTTTTGCCAATTTCCAAGATTCGCCACTGAGCAGGTAACCTAGCTAGCAGCATAACATGTAGTGTAGACGCACCTCACATCTAACCGTACAATCTATTTCTCAGTAAATACTTTGATATACGAAAAATTTGTTTATGAATCAACAAGCTCAATAAAGAAAAAAAAATAGCATATCTGAGTCACAAAAAACTAGGAAAATAAAATGACCTCAGTTAGAACTGGGTAACAAGCATGAAGAAAATAGTTATTCCCCTATAACTAAATTATAACTAAATTATAATTACCTGACTATCTACAAGGCGCGGCAAATCGGATGGCAACGATCGCTCCGACGTCCATATCCAAACTAGTATTACTTAGTGCAGCCTGAGTGCATCTTGCACCGACGAGAAAATACCTGCTTAACCTACTTAGTTCCAGTTTAAATTTCTTCTTCTTCTTTTCAATTGTTTGGTTCATCCGTTTATTTTTCATATTCTTATTTCCTTATTCTTTTCTTAAAATCACTCAAGGTTATGGACCGCACCAGACGACAAGTTTAAATTTGTTGCCTCCTCGAAAGTTCAGACTAAATCCTTACTTCGGACGAATCCTAATTTGACTCTGTTTATTGGCCAGTCCTTAATGAAGAAAAACAAACACACGCATCAAAACCTTTGTATTATACCAGTGCTGACAGCCTTGTAGTTGAGATTTTCCAGATCTGACGCTTCAATGACAAAAGAATCAATTGCCATCTAAACTCATATTTGACTTTTTCGTCCCGCCGGCCAGGTTGGCTTAGTGGTCAGCACTTCTGACTCTACATAAAATGGTCTCAGGTTCGAATCCTGGTAGTGGCGACAAATGTTCTTGGGACCAACGAAGTGACTAGTGTATCTGCAGAAACACATGTCACTTTTCCTCGATTCCTGAAAATTTGAAAGCGACAAGTATGGATGAGTAGTTCCAGCTGCTGAACTACGCTCTGCTCGATTTGCCGGGTTGTAAAGAGCAAAAATTTAAAAAGAAAGAAAATTTTTCAAAATTGAGCTGGCTGTCATTTTTTATCCTCCATAGCTGGATTTTAATCGCCGAAAGAAAAATTTAAAAATTGTTTATCGTAAAAATAACTTACTACAGCCCTCTTTGCGATCATTCACGGGGAAGGGGGGAGGAGGGACCTCACTCCACAGAATTTCAAAACTGAGTCCCCTACAGTTATGCAAAGACCAGGAAGTCAAATCAAGCCCCAGGATTATTGATTAATTTAATCAATATAAGATTAAATTAAATTAAATTATATCTATGCAAACATTCTTTTGCAGTCGTTGTCCAAAGTATAATTTACAAATCTTGTTCACGGCTTAAAGTTCAAATCGCTCTGAATTGCATGATTTTTTATTACTTCAAATTTTGGAGAAATTGTCAATAGATGTGTCTCGATTGGACTGAATTTAACAGGAACGCACCAAGTCGCACCATGTTTGAACCTAGAACAAGCAGCGGCGATTCCAGCAAGTTGGCAACGCTGTTTATTCCCCATTTGCATCCATTGAATATATCGATTGTAGGCGAAACAGGCTGCCTCATATAGAGTCGATTGTTTAAAATACATTCAAATGGAGAAAAAACAGTGTCGCCAACTTTTCGGAATCGCCGCTGAGAAAAAAAGGGTTAAGGTTGTATTTCTCCATGAGGCCTATGTCAAAATCAGAGTTTACTACCACTGATATCACGTTCAAAATATTTTTTCTCGAACTTTGAATGTTTGACAGAAGAGATAAACGACTAGTTGAATTCAAAACTCAGTTTTTTTCCCTAAATGCGACTTGTTGCGATTCTGTTGCATTTGGTCCAATCGATTAAAATTTTGCAACCAGGAGCCGTTATATTATGGCTTACCCATAAGAGCAACGGGGACACTATAACGGTTCCTGATTTGCTCCTAAAATTAACTGGAAATATTAGCTCGCCTATTCACAAACGGACGTATTACTGCTAAACGGAACTAAAGACGTACGGGAAAGGTGGGGTGTGCTCGTGGTGAGCTGCATATGAAACAATGTAAAAATGGGCGTGATTCCTCTTGGGGAATTGGAAAAGCGGGATTTATATTAAAACAAACGGAACGAAGCGGCGGCTGCATGCTAACTCATGAGCCGTGGGCATGGCAAAGGAGCGGAGTGGGCAGGGCTCATGAGTTAAATATCCGCGACCAGTCGCGTCGTCGCCGCTGACGTCACTCAAGTTTTGTGATTCCTATTAATTTTTACGGCCCGAGCACTAACGAGCACACCCCTTCTTTCCTACTTATTTCTGGATCCGTTTAGCAGGAATACGTCCAAATGCAGTCCAAACATCAGCTCGTAAAGTATGATTTATTATATTGGAGTCGGTTATCTTAGAGACTGAAACGCCCGCCTAAGAAAAGCAACCGAGGAACAGAGACAGTTGAGTTGCCCTCCCATGAGCAAAATGAGTTCCTTTGAAAATGTATTTAATGCTTGCAACTGTTGACCTTCAACTTCGTGCTGAAATATCAACTTTTGTAGTCTGCCGTTCTAAGAAAAAGTGTGTGTGAACAATCGGGCGTTGCCAAATTTCCCCTGATGAGTAGTGAGGCACAAAATCTAGAAGGAGAGTGTGATTATTTTTTTCTTTCAACTTCCAGGGGCTTCTTTCTGCCTTTTGAAAGAGAGTCTGTGAATTTGTCTGGAGAATATATCTCAGGGGCTTAGAGGACGCAAGGCGAATGAGTCCAGTTTTTGCTGTTTCCAGAAATACGTCTTTAAAGTTTCAAAATTACATGGAACCNTTGAAAATGTATTTAATGCTTGCAACTGTTGACCTTCAACTTCGTGCTGAAATATCAACTTTTGTAGTCTGCCGTTCTAAGAAAGAGTGTGAACAATCGGGCGTTGCCAAATTTCCCCTGATGAGTAGTGAGGCACAAAATCTAGAAGGAGAGTGTGATTATTTTTTTCTTTCAACTTCCAGGGGCTTCTTTCTGCCTTTTGAAAGAGAGTCTGTGAATTTGTCTGGAGAATATATCTCAGGGGCTTAGAGGACAAGGCGAATGAGTCCAGTTTTTGCTGTTTCCAGAAATACGTCTTCAAAGTTTCAAAAGTACATGGAACCATATCACGGAAAGGAAGTTGAAACTCACTTTTTGTTGCTTTAAAGATGGATTTCAGTTGAGAATTTTACAGAATATACTTACAAACTAGTTTTAGTCGAGTTCATGAATATCTCAATTTTTCCAAAAACTGCACTTACGCGCCTCGTTCTCCAAACCATTTCTAGATATTATTCTTAATGATATTTCACTGGAAAAATTGTTTCTTTTTATTTAAATACCTCGTTTTTCTTAATCACGGCAGGCTTACATTTTACAGTTGCAATTTCTTTTATTAAATTTATTTCGTCTTTAAAAATTAAAACCAAAAGATTGTCATCAGACCCCAATTTTTTGTTTTTAATTTTTATTCATAACTTGTGCTCTACCATAAAAGTGAACAAAGATGTTTAGTTTTTATGTACTGGTTTACCTATTTTTTTTACTTTCATTTATTATTTATTTATTCATTTATCAATCTATTTATCCATTAATTTATTTTCTTCAAGAATATCATGTTTGTCTCATGATGAACTGATGCCATACTTGAATGCAATCTCCAGCATTTTTAAAGATTCAGATGACGAACAAAAGAAGTAGAAATGCAACATGAAGCCAAAAAGAGAAAGTAAAAGTTTTATTGTTGTGTTACAGACAAGAGAGATCGTCTATCATACAGGATGGGAATTAAAACCAAGGATTGAGAGTTTTCATTAGTCGCAATATTAGCACGACAGGCAATTATCAACAAGCAGTGAACTCCAACACAATGTGTTGATAAGGCGCGTCATTAACTCGCACATATCAACCCCTTTAGTTTTCATTTACAGAGATTTCAAAATAGGCAAACAGCATAAAAAGAGAATTCACGATCCAACACTGCGAGGTCAAAGACGCACCTTGACGAGACCGTGTATTGTGAAAGTAGAAAGCTATTCGATCGAATTTAAGTTTTTTGATCTGCCTCAAGCAAAATCTTATCAGATTCTTGAAGAAAAGTGCTACGGAATAATTTAAGCGAAGAAAGGAAAAATTCTGTCGAACTCCTAGAAGATAAAGTCGATTTAAAGGTATTTTGGGGCTAAAATACCCAAATCACCGGTAGTAAAAATCCCGTTATATTATTGAAAAGAAATTGACTCGATATAAATGCAATTGCATTAAATACGTCTTGATTTTGTTATTTTAAACGTCTTTCCATGCAAAGAAGTTCAACCATGTCGTTGCTTTATTCATTCATGAATTGAAAGTAAGCAATCTACATCCCGAAAATCTACTGATTTGCCGTAAAAAATTGCAGAAACTTGATATACCAGGTCGATGCACCCACTCGTTGAATTTACCAACCAATTTTGTGAGTGCA